TTAGGAGAATTTCTACAATAACTTTTAGTGTTTTAACTCGAGTATAAATATGGTGTTCTAAGCTCTCTCTCATATCCCCCACATAATCACATACCATCATAACACACCATTTACAAATTCGTTAAGAAGAGCTTAGGGATGTACCTTGCTATGATCATTGGTTCTATTTTTCTTTTATTTTTATTTTTATGTGTAACCAAGTTATTTTCTAAGGTTTATGATGATGCCATGACATAAATATTTTTAAAGTACTTTGTTAATTGTTATTTGATTATATGTCGTGTTATATTCTTAATCTTTGTGGTTAATTTATTCTAGATTCGAATTTCTATTGACGGATCATCCTTAGGATTTTTCATCTAGATACTTAAATAAATCTATGAGTATGACCAATCAATTAGGTCTATTGTAACTAGGATTAAAAGAGTAGATAAATTAGTGAGATGACCAATATCGAGCTAGTCTTACTTGGTTGACATGATTTTTCTCAAAAGTAAACATATAAATCAAAGGGTAAATTGTCGATTTAGTCCCTGAAGGTTCTTGAATTTTTTTTTTTTGTTAAATAAGTCCTTATATTCATTAAAAATTGCTAAATTAATCTCTAATATTATATTCAAAGCTATTTTGTCAACTTAAGTCATTTGACACATTTTAGAGAGTAATGTCATCACTTTCTTGCCTATAAGCCCTTAAAGTTGAGTAGTTTGCGACTAATTCACCTCTAAAATTAAGTCCACACACTATTTCGTCAAAAATATAAGTCCTTAAACTATGAAAAACTACCTATGTACCCTTCAATGTGTATCCATCAAGTCATGTGAATTAAATTTGGGGAGACTTAAGATCCGGTCCCTAGCCCCTAACATTCTTTGACTATGCCTAATGGTATTCAATTTTTTATCAAAGTCCCTTGGTTTTGTACATCTCATTATTGCTATTAATATGTATTTTCATATGTTTGATTGTCACATCTCGACCCAGGCTCCCATCACATCCCGGGCTCAACTCCTACCGTAGCACGATGTTGTCCGCGTTGGGCCCTAACCACGTCCTCACGCTTTTGTTTCTAGGAACTCACACGAGAACTTCTCAGTGGGTCACCCATCATGGGATTGCTCTTGCGCGCTACTTGCTTAACTTCGGAGTTCCGATGGACGTTGAAGCCAGTGAGCTCCAAAAGGCCTCGTGCTAGGTAGAGATGGAAATATACATATAAGGCTTACAGGATTCACACCCCTGGGTGATGTGAGATGTTACAATCCACCTCCCTTAGGGGCTCGACATCCTCGTTAGCACATCACGGCCAAGGTTAGGCTCTGATACCAAATTGTCACACCCCAAATTCGAGAATAAGGATAATAATCAAATTAGGGCATGAAGAGTAACTAAAAAAAATTTTACTATTACAACAAAGGTATGATGGAACCAGAGCCATCTAAAAGTTCATGAGTTTAAAGAGTTCAACTCTTACAACATACTCTTACGATACTAAAACACTTTATTCTAAGTACAACTAGGAAACAAGCACACACATGATATGGCTATCCATTTAGAGACAGGTCATCCTCAAATTCCTCCATGCTCCCATGTTGCCAAAGAACCTTTACCAAAGGAATAGTTTTGGTATGTAGAATTTGTTTCTTGTGATCCAATATTTGAATAGGTTTGTCCTTAAATGACAATTGATCATCTTGGATTGGGGAGAATTAAACCTGGATGATCAATTGTCATTTGAGGACAAACCTATTCAAATATTGGATCAGAAGGAACAGATTATACATACCAAAACTATTCCTTTGGTAAAGGTTCTTTGGCAACATGGGAGCATGGAGGAATTTGAGGATGACCTGTCTCTAAATGGATAGCCATATCATGTGTGTGCTTGTTTCCTAGTTGTACTTAGAATAAAGTGTTTTAGTATCTTAAGAGTATGTTGTAAGAGTTGAACTCTTTAAACTCATGATGTTTTAAATAAACAGGTTTAAGTGAACTTTTAGATGGCTCTGGTTCCATCATACCTTTGTTGTAATAGTAAAATTTGAAAAAAGGTTACCAATTAAAAATGATATAAACTAAAAATAGAAACATATGATAGAAAGTTTAACCATAAATATAAATATACCAAATGTAATGTTTCTTAAATGAATATATTTTGGAAATAAAATTTAATTATGTTAATGTGACGATCCGTCCCGAATAATTATATATTTTATCCTTGAATGCATGAAAATGACAATTATGCCCTCGAGGCTTAGTGACGTGGATGTATGTATATAGTTTTAAATTATTTTTCCGCTAAGGTGATCAATTGTATTCGACGTCATGAGTGTGTTGACGCGAGTTAGGGCCGAATTGGATTCGTAACGAAAACGTTACGGATGAATAGGTGAGATTGGGTTGTTTTTAATTCTATTTGGACCAATTAGCTAGGCCCTAAATCCCATAGCCCAATTAAGGCTTAAGGCCATTTTAAAGTGGCCTAACCGCGACCACACACATGCACGCACACACACATACGTAACCCACCTTCACCATTTTTCTCGAATTTTCTTCTTTGTCCGTACAACCGAAGACATCACACTTAAACTGAACCAAAACCTCACAGATCGAACTTCTAAGGACGACCTTCGAGTTCCTTGCATACCATTTGTTCATAGAAAGGACGTCGAAATTGTGAAGAACCATAAGCTCCGGCGAGGTACCCTGTTACTCCGACATGATCGTAGGCATTTCACAGGATTTTAAGGTTCAAAAAGTGTCCTAAACGATTCCATAAGGATCCTAGGCTAATTTTGGAGCAGTTAGAACGTCGAAACACTCGGGTTTGTCGAGTTTCAAGTTTGGCCGGTTGTTTCGAGCTATGACGACGCAGCGGCGACCGGCGTCGGATTCCGGCAAAGCCACCGGAGAAGACAAGGAATATTCCATCAACTTTGATGGAATATACTAACGGCGTCAGGTGAGACATTTTCGGAGGACAAGAACAGCCAGAAAAAACTTTGGGGTTACGACTCTGCTACATACGAGTGAGTGGGCTTTTGGTTTTCTATATATGCATTTCCCAAAAATTGTTTTAAAGAGAATTTCGTTTAAAATGCCATGTCATGTTTGCTTTACATTTTAGCATATGCTTTAATAAAACTTTGCATAATATTGCATGATATTGCAGAGGCTCAGGTAAGCTCAGGTAAGTATATATTAACGGTATGGTTGCATGGTAGTTGATTATGAGTTGATGCACGTAAAGCTCATTGTCCTATACCCCGGTGTTAGTGCTCCGCCAGTAGCTAAGGGCTAGCCTTCACGTGATCGTTCACCTCCCGCACCGCATGCTCAGCTTGGATTCAAGTCAGGTGCCAGCCTGTCGTACATACCACATTAGGTGGTTCCGATTCGTAGGTGATCTGAGATTTGTTGCACAGCCTTCACGTGATCGTAGCACTTAAGCTTACTTATTTACACTCAGTTTGTCGTACAGACCACATTAGGTGGTTCCTACTCGTGTGAAAGTTTAGTGTCGTACAGGTCACATTAGGTGAGTTCAGCTGGATTGATGAGCAATAAGTTTAGCCGTATAGGTCACATTAGGTGACTCCGGCTGGTATATCACTTTTACATTGATTTATATCACCTGGCTTACATATTTACTGCTGAGATAGTGACATGGCATATACCTGATTTTTGTTACTCTCGAGCTTGATTTCTATAAATACATATGTATTACTATTTTCTGGAAATTATACAGGTTTTATGGTGAGGGGTTATTACTTTTGGAAAGAGAAATTGTTTTTAAAAAGCTTTGTTTTTGCCCACTCACGTTTTCTGTTTTATGCCCCTCCAGGTTCTAGTTAGACGTTCGTGTTGGGGGCTCACGAGGACTCTACTGCGGTTCTGACAGACTCCAAACAATGTAGGGTTCATTCACATTCTGTATAATTAACACTTTCTTGCTGGATTGCACTTAAGTTATCTATGCTCTAATGACGTGTATCTGTGCTTTAAACATCTTCACTCACACTTATTTACTTACCTAGTATAAATTAGCTAGTTTGGTTTTTAATCACCCACATATTCGTATCATTATCACTTTCGCACTGCGCATATGGCTACTTCACCCTCACGTGATGGCCAGCATACCTCAATTTAGGTTGGGGTGTGTCAGTTTGGTATCAAAGCCTAGGTTTGGCAGTCCTGCATATTTTGTGAGTATTCTAATCATTTTGAGGTCTTATGTCAGAACCATGCCGCCTCGTAAAGAGCCACGTACCTCTTTTGAGTCTAATTTTCTGGATATTACCCAACTTAGGGAGGCTATTACTAATGTCATTCACTTCTCACTTCGTCTTCCCTAAAGAACCCCCTTAGAGACCATATATAACTTAAAGTTGAATAATTTCGTGGGCAATGAGGGACCAGATGGAGCCGAGTAGTGGCTTAACCATGTCAAGAAAACCTATCGAGTGATGCAGTGACAGGGGAATTTCCCTGAGGATAGATGGGTCAAGACGACTACTTGGTTTTTGGGTAAAGAGGCTACATCCTGGTGGAGGCAAGAATCTTTTCAGTTGTCACCTGAAAAACTACAGATTGGGAGATTTTTAAGCGATTATTCCAGAAGAGATTTGTACCTCTAGAGTATTTGGATTGTAGAAGGCAAGAATTCTCGCAATTAAAGCAAGGGAAAATGTCAGCTAATAAGTACTTTAGAAAGTTCATTGATTTATCTCGATATTGTCTGGAGATTGCTGAGAATCCTGCTAAAATGCTTCGACGATTCAAGTGGGGTGCTCAAAAGATGTGGCGTTCTATGACGACCACGACTCCCTGCTGTACATATCAGGATTTTTCTGAGATTCTACTGCGGGTTGAGGATTCTGAAAATATGCCCAGTGATAGTGAACAAAAGGAAGAAAAATATAATAATCAGAAGAAAAATAGTAATAAAGATAAAGGCCAGTCATCGCAGTGACCTCGTAAGACTCAAACTTTTAAGAGAAATGATACTAGGTTATAGTTCTTCTAGTAGGGGTTGGAGTTTTACTGCTCAGCGAAGAGGCGACCGATTTTTAAGAGGTTTCCGGTTCCAGAGACAAAAAGATTATAGCTGTACAGGTGCCCTACTGTGTCGCAGATGCAATAATATGCATTTTGGGGATTGTAGACAAGGCAACAGAGGTGGATGTTTTGTTTGTGAACAAATGGGACATCGGGCTCTCCAGTGCCCACAGAGCCAACAGAAACTCCAGCCATCTCCCTTGCCACCACCAGTTCCTAATCAACAGATTCCAGGGCCTAGTGGTTACACCAGACGGGTTATGGTGGAGCATATCATAATCAGGGTGATATAGCTTTATATTCTGGAAGACAGTATCAGTACCTACATGATCTGTATCAGCAGAGTGGTTACACTTCAATATCTAAGAGGTTATGCGCTATATCCAACATATTCAGCTAGTGGATCACGGTGGAATCTCGGAGGGCAGTCCTAGAACGTTGAGGTTGCTTCTAACAGTGCAGGATCATCGAGGCAGCCTAATCATCCTGGTCAAGGACGTGAAATGCAAAGATGTGGAAATCAAGGTAACAGGGGTCGTGGAGAACAACAACAGCCTTAGGGCCGTGTTCATCATATCAATTTGTAGAATGCTTAGAAGAATCCCGATTTGATTATGGGTACGTTAAATATTCTTGCCATTTTGCTAGAGTATTGATTGATTATGGTGCCACACATTCTGTTATTTCTCATACGTTTGCTTAGACGACGCAACCTTACCCCACATTTCTTGATTATGAGTTAGAGTTTTCAATGCCTAGGTATATCAAGGATGTCACGTTCTAGTGGAGGACGTCGTCATGCCAGTTAATCTTGTTCCATTAAATATCATTGATTTTGATGTTATTTTGGGCGTGGATTGGTTACATTACAATCGTGCCAAGATGGATTATTATGAGAAGACAATCACTTTTCATCGGCCGGGCTTGCCTGTGGTTACATTTGTGGGTGTACGTAGTGGACTAAGGCAAGGCTTTATCTCTGTCGTGAGGGCTAAAAAGTTATTGAGGAAAGGTTGTCAGGGTTATTTGGCTCACGTGGTATTGAATGAGGATAAGCCTACTCATGTGGAGGATGTACGGGTAGTTAGGCATTTCCTTGATGTTTTTCCGGATGACTTACCTGGATCACCACCAGATGGAGAAGTGGAATTCACTATTGATTTACTCCTAGGTACAGATCCTATTTCCTTAACTTATTATTGAATGGGTCTCGCAGAGTTGAGGGAATTGAAAACTCAGTTGCAAGAATTTGTTGATAAGGGTTTTATTCAGCATAGTATTTCACCTTGAGGTACTCCAGTTTTATTTGTACGAAAGAAAGACAGGACCTTGAGGCTGTGTATCAATTATCGATAGCTGAATCGAGTAACGATTAAAAATCGTTATCCGTTGCCTGCGAATAGATGATTTATTTGACCAGCTTGCAAGGTGCTTGCATGTTTTCTAAGATTAATTTGAGATCTGGGTATTATCAATTAAAGATTAGAAGTGAAGATGTACCTAAAACAGTTTTTAGGACTCGATATGGTCATTACGAATTTCTCGTGATGCCATTCAAGTTAACAAATGCACCTGCAACTTTATGGACCTGATGAATCGGGTATTCAAGCCATACCTCGACATGTTTGTTATTGTCTTTATTGACGATATTTTGGTGTATTCTAAGTCTAAGGCAGAGCATACTCGACATCTCATTTTGGTTTTAAAGAAATTGAGGGAGCACCAATTGTATGTTAAGTTCAACAAATGCTAGTTTTGGTTAGATCAAGTGGCATTTTTAGGGCATGTAATATCAGTTCAGGGCATTCAGGTGAACCCACGGATAGTAGCTGTAGTTGAAAATTGGCAGCAGCCATAAAGAATATTCCGTCAACTTTGACGAAATATACTAATGGCATCAGGTGAGATGTTTTTGGAGGACGAGCGCAGCGAGGCAAGACTTGGGGGTTACGACCCTGCTACATACCAGTGAGTGGGCTTTTGGTTTTCTATATATATATATATATGTGTGTGTGTGTGTGTGTTTCCCAGAAACTATTTTAAATAGAATTTCATTTAAAATGCCATGTCATGTTTGCTTTACATTTTAGCATATGCATTAGTATAGCTTTGCATAATATTGCATGATGCTGCAGAGGCCTAGGTAAGCTCAGGTGAGTATATATTGACGATATGGTTACATGGTAGTTGATTATGAGTTGATGCACGTAGAGCTCATTGTCCTGCACCCCGATGTTAGTGCTCTGCCCGTGGCCAGGGCCTAGCCTTCACGTGATCGTTCACCTCCCGCACCGCACGCTCAACTTGGATCTAAGTCAGGTGCCAGCCTGTTGTACAGACCACATTAGGTGGTTCCGACCGTAAGTGACCTGCGATTCGTCGCACAACCTTCACATGATCGTAGCACTTGAGCGTACTTATTTACACCCAGCCTGTCGTACATACCACATTATGTGGTTCGACTCGTGTGTAGGTTTAGTGCTGTATAGGTCACATTAGGTGACTAAGGCTGGCATATCACTTTTACATTGATTTATATCACCTGGCTTACATATTTACTGCTGAGATAGTGACATGGCATATACCTGGTTTTCGTTACTCTCAAGCTTGATTTCTATAAATACATATGTATTATTATTTTCTGGGAAATTATATGGGTTTTACGGTGAGGGGTTATTACTTTTGAAAAGAGAAATGGTTTTTAAAAGCTTTGTTTTTGCCCACTCACGTTTTCTGTTTTGCGCCCCCTCCAGGTTTTAGTTAGACGTTCATGTTGGTGGCTCACGAGGACTCTATGGTGGTTTTGATAGACTCCAAACAATGTAGGGTTCCTTTACATCCTGTATAATTAACACTTTACTTGTTGGACTGAACTTAGGTTATCTATGCACTGATGATGTGTATCTGTGTTTTAAACATCTTCACTCGCACTCATTTACTTACCTAGTGTAAATTAGCTAGTTTGGTTTTTAATTACCCACATATTCGTATCATTATCGCTTCTGCACTACGCACATGGCTATATCACCCTCACATGATGGTCAGCATGCCTCGATTTAGGTCGGGGTGTATCAATTAATATGTAAATAATTTATAACTAAAATAATGACATTCATTAAAAGCTAGGGATCTTGATAAACAATTAAAAAGAAATAAGTTTTTAATCAATGCAATAGAAGAAAGAGGGATGAGAACCTAATTTTTCCTTAAATTTGACAAAAATTGATATAATGGCTTTGAATCTAATATTAGAGAGGTAATTAGCAAATTCTTATTAGTTTAAGAGCTGATTTTTTAGAAGAAAAAAAAAATTGTTTAAGGACCTAATTTTCACTTAGGTAATAATGTAATGACTAAATCGGTAGTTCACTCTATTTCAAATAATAGCAAAAACCAACCCTAATTAAATTATAATCCAAGGTTTAAACCTCAAGCAACCACCATAATGATCTTAAAGATCATTCATGCCTTCGCGAAGTGAGATTGTGAGAAAGACGAGTTTGAGCTTTATAAAATCCTGCCTAAAACCAATGGCAAAGCTAGGAATAAATGAGGGGAGGGGCGAAGTTAAAAGATTGCAAGGTTCAAAAGAATAGCAACAACCAAATCCTTTTATATATTAATGTCTTCCATAATTTATCAATACAAACAAATTACAATTATTGTCGGCGAGGTTTCATATCATGAAAACGTCGCATAATAGGCTCATTATCAATAAAAGCAAATATATCTTTCTCAATGTAAACAAGCATGCTATCACTCAACCATTGATCTCCCATTTTGTTACGCAATAGTGTTTTCACAATCTTCATAGTAGAAAAAGCTCTTTCCACCGAAGCGGTTGCAACCGGTAACACCAAAGCCAATGTAAGAAGCTTTTGTACAACTTTATTATGAAGACTTCCAACACCTCTCTCATAGACTCAAAGATTTTAGGGTCCTTTCTTCCAATTTGTAAACCCTTTCTCAGTGAAGACATCACTTCCAATGCTACCCATTTGATCGAAATCACATTTGAAAAGATAGCAATAACAGCAAAATGCAACATTTTTTGATATACTATACTCCAACCACTTAAACTTATCAAACTAACTGATAATAAAACATCTTTTGTCGCTAACTTTTCATGGCATGATGTGGTCTCTAGGTTGACAAAGATCATTTTGGAGATAGTGTCTACGAATTGCTTCACGATAATTAGGTGGATAATCAAGCATTCGATGTCTATGTCCAGGGTCTACAGGAAGATTAGCCAATGTTTCATCAAACTCAATGGCCTTAAAATTCGTATTAAATAATTTATTAAGGTTAGGATTATAAATTTAGTGTGCGTTTGTTGCACTAGACTATCTCGGACTGGCCTGGCTTAGCATGGACTAACTGGTATAAGAATAATGGAACGTTTGGTGCAATGTCGGACTAAGTCACATACTAAATTATTTTTAAAATCTAAATATTATTTTATCATTTTTAAAATTCTCTCTCAACCTTTTCTTTTCCTTTTGTATTTTTTTTTCTCTTGTTTTTCATTTCCAGACGGTTCTAGTTTTCTCCTCTTTACTTTTTTGTTTTTCTTCGTTCAAATTCAGGAACCGGGCACAACCTGGTTGAACCCCACCAGAACCTGAAAGACTTGTCGATCGATTCATGAAGGAAATGCAGAATGCGCAGATCGGCATGATTTGGCGGGATCGATTGATGCGCCGCCCTTGGACCTGAGTTGCAGATGATGCAAGCATTAGAGTTTCAGACAATGCAGGTGTTGGGCCTGAGTTGTAGACGGTGGAATCATTGAAGTTTTTGGCCTGGGTGTTTTGAAAAAAAATTGCACGCAACTCTGCTGCGCGCAAAGCAGAACCAGACAACACCGGAGGAGACAAAGAGCAGCAGCAGGAGGGGAGGGGCTGTCCAGCGCTCTAGCCTTGTTTTTTCAGCGAGGGGAATGGCGGTCACCACTCCTTGTCCTCACGTGGCTTCGCCACTGCCCAAAACGACGTCGTTTTTGGTTTGGGATTTTTTATTTTTATTTTTTAATTCAAACATCCAATTAGTGGTTTGACAATGCCTCAGGCATGTCTCTCAAACACCTAGATGAGCATATAGCCAACTCTTGTTAGGCATAGGTGTTTTGTTGATAGCCCCACCCAAAAACTGCCTAGGCTAGTCTCAATACTAGTTTTGTGAACATTGTCATGGATTAATTCATACATTATATAGAACAACCCTTAACATTAGCTTGCCAGTTGGCTAGTAGTTGCCTTTAGAAAAAGAAAGTAAGATTGTCATTGGTGGATTCACAACATTATGCTTCATTGTTTCTCAAACATGTGTGTCGTGTGTTTATTTTATTTATTTATCTTTTTCTTTTCTTGTTAATTTTAGTCTTTAATCCATTCAATTCAATCTATCCTTTAGTTGTTTAATTAGGTCTAGCATGATTTATTGGTTACATGCACTTTCAAGTATAATTTGGTTTAATTTAATCTATTACTTAAGTTAGTTTAAATAACATTAGATTCCAATTAGGAATCTATTAATAATTGGAAACTAGCTCAACTCTTTATAAAGTTATGCAAGGTTTCGTAACTTTTCGTTTTGTAACTTTTCAATGTGGGATGCTTCTACATATCTCTCACGCATCCTAGCACTTCAGTCAAACACATATCGGGTGATTTGAAGAACTTATAAATTAATTTGTTTTGATATCATAAAGAAAGTTGAGGTGCCACTCCAAAATTAATTCAATTGACAATGAAAAAAATAGCCCAACTCCATTTAAATTTCTGTAAACATCCTTAACTTTCTCATATGAACAACTTTCCACATGCTCATACCTCCCTGTCACTTAAGCTAAACCCAATAACTTATTTGGAAATATTATTCCTCTGAAGATGAAACTACCACTTTTTGACTTATAAAGGAAAACTCAATTGAGAGTTTGTCTGTCTTTAATATGTTATTGTTTGGACCCGATTTTACATTATCGGTTCGAGTAATCAAGATCGTTGAATGAGCAGAATTTTAGACCGATGAATGACAAAGTGGTTGAGATGATTATTAATTATTATTGAAAAATTATATTGTGATTTTAATCATGATATTATTTTTTTAGTAATATATTAAATTATTTAAACCTAATATTTGTCTAAATTCCAATTGATTTGAATAACGAGGGAATATTGGCGTGGAAGTGAAGCGATTGGGATGAAAGACATTTTGGTCAAATGTCTATGTTCTGATCAGGTACAGGGCTGCACGTGGATTGGTAATTGGATTGGATGAGCATTGTT